ATTTCCAAAATGCTCACTTCGGTCACGTAAGTATGCACAATATTGGACCCTAAAATACACACATGCACACGCACATATACACAAAAGTAGGAACATGTATACGTAAGTGGCTCTTGGGAGGGATTTACTAACAATGGACGATTGAGTCTGGTTTGTTCGCTCTTCGCTTTTCTCAATCTTTCTTAACCTAAAATCGTCTATTCGTCTCATTCCACATTTTATGCTCATATCTCTTCCTGTCTTACCCTCTATTTCATACCCTCCTCCTAGCACCTTCTCCATGCTCTTCTCCCCTCTCCTCGTCTTGACATTAAGTTCTTAGGCCCGGTTTCCTCACGCACAGGCAGGTCGTTTGATTGATCCTTTGGCTTCATTTCACTATGGCGCCCTATCAACTGGAGTGGGCTCATGTGTTCACTCACCTCACACTATTATGGGGCAGAGAGAAATGGGCTTGAAATGGCGCCATTTGGCGGTCGTTCACAGGGCACGGAATCATCCCACCTCGGCCATCAGGTCTCAACAATCAAACTCGTCAGGCTATCAAATAGCCATGCCATGTGTGCATGCACTCATGCATGTGCGGAGACATAATCAGCTTCGTTCACAGCGCCCTCGGATTACGGGTGGGCAGGACGGGCCTGGTGTGAACACACAATGCATACAAATGTCAGCGACTCCTCTGCCTGTCCAGGTCTCGGCCCCTGCTGTCGAGGTGTCGGACAACTCGACACTTGTATCCGTTCGGGTGCAAAAATCACGGAGTAGTTGTCATGCCTGCAGGGTTGAGTCAATTACGGCATAGAAAATAAAAGGTATGAAAATATAAATCATCATTAAGTCGCAAGCCGTTAGACATGACAAAATCTGAGGTGTTAATGCGGACTTTGCGGCCCATTTCGCAGGCGCGATTGGCATATCCAGACACGAGCCATCCAGCCTACAGAGTTGAGCATATTTCCAAAATGCTCACTTCGGTCACGTAAGTATGCACAATATTGGACCCTAAAATACACACATGCACACTCACATATACACAAAAGTATGAACACGTATAGGTAAGTGAGCATACACGCTGAGTTGATAATGCCAAAAACCGTGACTGAGGTGTCCGCTCTTTTGATCTGTATACTATCACGATGTCTTTTCTAACGGCTAACGGGAATGAGGCTCACTTAGCATCCACCAAGTCTGTTCTAATTTGGCCAATTGGAATCAAATATACATTCAATAATTCGTTCGCTAAACTATCGTGTATAAAGAATGAAGTTTTGTATATTTGTGGGCGAACATAAGACCATGAGGGATTTTATATAAATTCAATTTATTGGGTTAATATGTATTTTTGTTAAAGCAACTAGCCAAGGTTACCAGCTGACTCATTATAGATATAAAGTTTATTTCCAAAGAAGAACATATACTGAGCCGAGCTTTCTGAAGAGCAATGGTTTCTGGATAGCTTGAGGCCCTTGAGGCTGAGGTCCCTTCGACCTACACCAAAGACTAATTGGGATCAACGTAGAATTCGACAAAATGGAGTACCTAACTTTGCAATAAAAAACAATTCGATAATTTAATTGGAATTTGTGATCTTAAATTTTAGAGATGTGCATGGAGCCAAATAATAACAGATGGGTGTATAAAGATGTATAGCAAAATAGAATCATTGGAAGCTGCCAGAACAACTTGTATAGGAATCCGAATGACCCAAAATTGAATTTTCTATAAGGAAGTACAAGGAAGGCCTATTTATGCCGGAGAATTAAAAATAATCCCAGCACAAGCATGACGGAGGGTCAGGGGGTGAGAAAACCAACGTGGGGTTTGTAGAGTTCTCGTGAAATCCACTCAAAAAGGTACACCATACCACATTTAAACAAGGAATTAAGAAGTTGTTTGACCTTGTTTTCGCAACATGGTCATATTGGTAGGAAGACTTATTGGAACGCACCTAG